GGGAGGTGGGGGAGGGACATGTAGGAACAGGAAAGTAGAGGGGGAGGTGGGTGGGAGACATGTAGGAACAGGAAAGTAGAGGGGGAGGTGGGGGGAGAGACATGTAAGAACAGGAAAGTAGAGGGGGAGGTGGGTGGGGGGGCATGTAGGAACAGCAAAGTAGAGGGAGAGGTGGGTGGGGGAAGGGACATGGAGGAACAGGAACGTAGAGGGGGAGGTGGGTGGGGGAGGAACATGGAGAGGGAGGGTTGTGGGCTGACATGAGGGTAGCAGGCCGTACCTGACACTTTTGGCTGAGTAGCGTCATGAGGAGCGGCGACATCACCAGATGGCGCTTTGCTCGCGTCACGGCGACATACAGGAGGTTGATCTCATCCTCATTAAAGTCCAGGTTGAATTCTGTCGTAGGTACGAGAAACGTGTCACGCGTACACGAAATATTTCACATGCGCGAGAAATCTGTCACCTGTGCAATAAATATATGTCACATGCGCATGCGAGAGACTGTGACAACCAGTTCACGCAAAATCTCAATCTCATTTCAAATTCGATCGATTCTAAAACGATTACGCTGGGTGTGACATTATTTGTAACAATTGCCATTATTAGGCCCAATAGGTGGCGCCATGTATTTCCGGAAGCCATGTACTTCGAGTAACACTCTACAACGTGGCAGGCTGGAGAGTGGTGCAATAAATCCTTTGTGCATATTATATATATTACACGTCAGCTCTTACTTTCAGTTCATCTTTACTTTAGAAATACAACCCGGGTCGATCATCGCTCGCGTGGAGACAATTCGTGTTTACCGTAGTCGTGGCCCCCGTTGTTCGCGTCGTGCTGAGACACGATGCCGTTCTTCGCTTCGGCTAGGAAGTCGTCCATGAGTCGCACGGTGACGAATTCGAGACCCTTGGCCTTGTGAGCCGTGCTCAGGATGACGTCTGTGCGTGAGCGTGAGCGAGGAGACGGTGGTGTTAGTGCGACGTCGCAGGAGCATAGCAGCTAGCATCGCACGTGTGCACACGTACAGGATCTACACACACGCGCACGCGCTCACGCACACATACACAGTTACACACCCACGCACGTACACATACACACACACACGCACGTACACATACACACACACACGCACGTACACATACACACACCCGCGCTCACGCACACATACACACCCACGCATGCACACATACACAAACACACAC